CTTAACTTTTTTACCAGGTGTATACATATATATCGCTTTCTTACTTTTTAGGCCTCGTGGCCTGGTTGTTAGGGTGTTCGCCTCATAATTTGCTGGTCGTGGGATCGAAAAACCCTCACCGAATATACTTACCCTTTCATCTCTGGGGACGTTCCAATGTAATGGTGAATCCCACTATTCGTTGGTAAAGAGTAGACCAAGAAGAGGAGTGGGTATTGTTGACTACCTTTCACCCAGTCTGTCACTTATAAGTTAGGGAATGCTAGCGCAGATAACCCTCGAAATGCTTTATGCGAAATTCAACAATCAAAGAGTAGAGTACATTTCTAAAACGCTTCTTTAACAGTTTGCTATGTTTTTACAGTGTTTATCACGACAATATGACTTACATGACAAACTTGTACTATGAGCATCAAGGTTATCATGACTATATTACGTAGGTGACAAATGTTACAGGTAAAACTATATTTTCAATGTATACCTCTAAAGCTACCACAACAAACTTTACCATTTAATCCATGTTCGGACAGAGGTAGGGTTTGATTTCAGTACAAGAATTCTTAGCTTACAGTCTGGTTTGTTTTGGCAAGTTTTGTATTTAAGCTATTTTTTATGAGTATTCTTTCAAACTTGATGACTTATTAAAAATAAAAGGTAAACCTAAAGTTTGGTCTTGATTGTGTTTCATGTTTTATTCTAAGCCTCCTTGAAGGTTTGTTTGGATTACTGTTCCCCATATGCAATGTGTTTATATTGTCTCAACACGTTAGAATATCATTTCTTGGCGTGAGGATAATCTCAAAGCTCTGATTTTCCGAAAATATGTTATTTTGATATAAGATAATGAGCTGAGTGAATGACATGGTTTATCTCAAGACAAACACGATCATGTCATTTCCACTTAACATAAGTACTTTGAATTATCTTGGTTTCAGCTTAAGTTTTCTTTGTCTGATTATTTGAAACTTCTTAAATGTAGGAAACATATATAGGAAATCACAAGAAATTGCTAAAGGTTATTAATCTCGAGTGTAATGACTCATTATGTCTCAGAAATTACATTAATATAACAATTCTCTCTAACGACAAAAAAGTACCATTACGTAAAGGTATGCAATTTTAACTTTTGTTCATGTTGTTTGGACACAAAATTATATGAATATGAAACTTTTAACTTACTATCTCCACTTTCTTGATGACATTATTAGTTCATTTATTCTAAAATTATCCAGGAACTATATAACAGCTAAAATTCTTAATGGTCACACACATTTAATTTTTTATTAACTTGAACTGTTCTTTAAAACACAAATTTCAGTATCTTGCACAGTGTAGCAAATACATGAGATCTTGTTTAATATTTTGATGATAAAATTTATAAACTTATTAATTGTGTGTGATGTGAGTAACTAAGTAATACCAAGAGCAATTTTAAATTATCTCAAATTTTGTATGCTTGCATGCATATGTCTTTTAAAATGTGTTAAAAAAATTATATATATAGAATATGCTATGATTGGAAACTATTTCTGAGCCAAAAATGAATTATCATGATTATATAGACTGGATGATGTTATCGTGGGAGCACCACTACATTCTGACTTCACTGCCAAAAGTAGAAGTTATGAAGAAGGACGTGTGTATATATTCTTCCAAACTGCAGAGGTAAGATCGAAGTGTTGTTTCTAATTATTGGCTATTCAGTTGAAAATTACAGTTAATTCCCGACTGGTGTGGTACGTAACATAAATACACTCATTTGAGTATCACGTATACAAATTGATTTCTTAAGTTATAAATATTTATTGTGGATATATATATCTTGCATCAAAAAATAAAAATACTGTTTCAAACTAGTCTGCTATAATTAAAGAAAGGTTTCTAAGAACTATATGCATGAAACTATAATATTAGAGTGCCGTGTATCAAAAATGATTTCACAAACATTCACCTATTATGATGGTTTATTAGAAAATGCGTGTTAAAGAATATTCCAGATTTTCTGAAAATAGCCTTTCCGTGAATTTTAGTATGAGTTTAATGCATATGAATATGGTTTCTTAGACAGTTTTAATTAAATTATAGCACCAGATGAGAAACAGGAGTTACTTGGATGGAGTGTACGCTAAAGGTCGATTTGGCATGGCCTTATCTTCACTAGGTGATATAGACAGAGATGGATATCAAGGTGAGTTTAGCAAAATGCTTGCCTTTAATATTTTAATAAGAATACCCTGGAATAGAAAAGTAATATTATAAGTTTACAGTACATACTACATATGAAGTAAAAATTATGCTTCATAATTGCAATTTCTTGTTGTTTTTTTTTCATTTGGCGAATCAAATACATTCTTACACCATTTCTTCAATTCAGAATTTAAAAATGATAAAATATATTCCAATCATGTACTGCTTATCTCGACCTTATAACATTGATTATGAACAGAGAATTGCTGTTTTGGCTTTCTCTTAGATGTGAATTACAATTTTCATTAAAAATCCAAAACATAGCCCTTATTTAATACGTGAACGTTGTATGTAACTTAATATTATATTGTAGGTTTAGAATTTTATTTTTTCATCATTACATAATGTCGTACATTATATTAATATATTATTTTTCTTCGGCCATATGTTCATCACTGGGCTTTCTTTAAATAAAATAAAAACTCAAATCTGATACAATAATCAAACGACAATTTAATGAAAAGTTGTCATTGCTGGAAAAGCAAGTTAATAAGTTAGATTATAATCACCTTGTCAATGTATAAATCTATTAACAATCACATGAAAAAAATAGATAGCTTAAAAAAATGTACTGGATATATTCATAGAACATCCATATAAAATAAGTTTAATCTTTCCAATTATGGGTTTATATAATATAAAAAAGTGGGTACTGGCCCATCGTTTAAAATTTACCATTCTACCAAAAAGTCTTAAATATGAAGATTATCTAAGATTATCAAATTATGATCAGCTGCTTCAACAATTGTTTAAGCAAACAATATGGTAGGAAAATAATAAATCACTTGATAACATAAGACATTGAATTAACATATTATAATAATATAAATCAGGAAGAAAATCTATAAATATAAATAAAGAGAATTTTTTTTATGAAAAGGTTATACACTAATGAGGATAATGTTATTATAAAACCAGATAAAGGAAATAGTGTCGTTATTATTAACAAAACTGGTTCTGTTGATAAAATTTAAAACATTCTGAATGATAATACTAATTTTTTGAGGCTAGATAAAGATCCAACTAAATCCAGATAAAGTAAGTTGCAATGATGTTTGTTAAGATCAAAAAAGAAAATAATAACAGATAATGAATATCATAAAAAACCAAGTGGCACTCATACAGGTATTATATATGGTGTTCCTAAAATTCATAACGATGTATGTCCATTTAGACCGATAGTGTCTGTTATAAGCATATATATTCATGAACTAAGTGGGTTTTTAGTTAAGTTGCTGGAACCATTAATTAGGAATGTAAAAATACTTTAAAAACAGTTTGGAGTTTTCACAAGAAATAAAAAATGAATTTTCTTAAAGAGGTTCATAACGCTAGTTATTATATAGAGTGTTTGTATACCAATATACGACTAGAAGAAACTACACATTTACATACCTAACTATTATATCAAAATGAAAACAATCAAATGCGACTTTCTAAACCAGTGTTTTCAGAAACTAATTCATTTAGCCACCAAATAATCAAATTTTTTGTTTCAAAATGCATTTATTGGTCAACTAAATGACGTTTCTTTGGGGTCAAGATTAGCTCCATTACTTGCCAATTTGTTCCTGTGTCATCAAGAAAACTCTTGGTTAGAAGAATGTCCTGTACAGTTTAGCCATTATATTACAGAAAATATTATTTTGAGAGAAGCTGAACGTGATGAGTTTTTTTTTTAAATACCTTAATAACAAACACCCTAATATTAAATTAATTGTTAAACACCAACATAGCTCCCAATTTACATTCTTTGACCTATTCATTTAAGTTAAAGATGGTAAGTTTAATTGTGAAATTGTCCATAAGGAGGCGTTTACGGGGTCATATTTTAACTCTGACAGTTAAATACCATTGTATTTTAAGAAAAATATTGTTAAGATACTGGTTCATCGAGCATATGAATTAATCTGTAAATCATACCATCAACTGAAAAATAAGCGATTATGATCAGAAATCAGTTAAGTAAACTATGTCATTGAGTATACCTTCAAGTTGAGTTGAGATGTTTATATTAGTCTGTATGTAGCTTACAGTATTTTTTCAGGTATAAAGATTGCATACTTGCCTATAAAACGTCTAATGTGATATATAAATATAAATGTCCTATACGTTCTTTAGGTTATGTTGTTTCTACCACTAGATGGCCAACAGCCAGCACACAAGAACATTCAAGAACATACTAATTTAGATTTATGTCATTCTCAAGTAGTAGGAAGCATGGGTTGTCCGAGGGTAATGAACCCACAAATAGAGAACAATTTAGAATTCTTACTAGAGCCAACAATGAACAAGAGCTGTACATAAAGGGGAGTTTGTTAATTAATAGATCCGAATCTAAGTTAAATAAGCAGATTAGTGAGGCTCTTCCTTACAAGTTTTATTAGAATTTAGCATTTTGTAAATTAGACAAAAATGAATCTGTAAAAAGCGTTCTCTAGGTCCCTGGATTATTTGGATTAAAAACTGCTAGTGGGACAAATTTTCAAAACGAAAAATTGACCTGTGACACGGTGTCACACCTGATAACTATCTACTTTTATACAAGCAAACCAACTTTGTAACACCTTTATCTTCCCATGACTCCAGACAGCCTGCATTGTGGTCACTAACGTTCACATATCAATGAGCAAACAGACAGGTTAGACTAATAACCACAGTATAGTAACTCAAATCACAAAATAATGTTTACGGCTAAGATTTAAAAAAGTACTGAATTTTGAATTGTGAACCTTATCTAAATCTAAAAAATAGAGAACATTATCATAGAATAATGAGGACGAAAAAATATTTTGAAGTATATGAATACCATTAAAAGTGAAACAAGCAGCAACTTTATATGACAATTGTTGGAGGGATAACAGAAGAAAACTATATTATATATATAGATATTGTAACAATATGCTTATACTTCAGAAAAGGTAAATGAATAATAAAATGTAGATTCTGTGTCCACTTTAAACGACATGGCGAGACATTGTGATGATTTTTAAACTGATAAATACAGTTTTATCTAACCATAGTTAAGAACTAATTCTATTATGATACTTTTTGTTTTTTAGATTTTGCTGTTGGAGCACCTTATGCTGGAGAGAAGGAACGTGGAATAGTATATATTTTTCATGGAAGCCGAAATGGCATGAAGTCCACTAAACCCTCGCAGGTGAATCTGAAATCATTATTCAAAATAATATGAGGACATTGTAGAAACCACAATAACATATATTTGATTATGATATAATAATTATTTAGGAATAATATAAAATTCTACTGAGAATGAGATCTTTGAAACTTTTAAACATTCAAATAAACACACGACACATTCTCTATACCTTTCTATTTTATTTCTACAATTAAAAACCATTTTGTATAATGGTACAGCTGTCTTCATGTATAGGTAAATCCAGTGATCAAATGCTTATTATTAATTTGTTCATACAGGTATTGTGAAAATGAAGGTGGTGGAAGTAAGTTATATTTTTTGTCCTCCATGGTCTGTTTGTTTAAAATAACTTATTGCAATTTCTGTTTCATTAATAGAACAATTACTTTCCTACAGCTTGTTGCAAATTGTGAATAGTTGATCAGAAGAACTACATTTTTTAACTTCAGTACTTCTATTTCTTCCTTATTTTATTTAAGTTTTTAATTTCATTCTACATGAGAGGCGTGTAAGTGTACAATGAATCTGATCGATGGTGTGTTCAATCTGTGGAAGCCCAAGCATGAGCTAATGGTAAGGGTATCAGACATCAAGGGCGATCCGAGGGTCTCGGGTTTTAGATATACTGCTACTGAACCCACTTCACGTTATAAGAGTAGCAGACAATCACACTACCAGGTTACTGACTGGTAACCTTTCTTTGACGTGCAGCTCAGAATTAGGCTGTGCTTGAAACATTAGGATCTCAGTAGTTAGGGTGATACTCCTGTGTCCAAAAGATGCTACCTCAGTAAGGAGTTGCCAGGTGAGTGAATATCAAAGGATGCCACCTGAGGGTTACATTACTATTACATAATATGCAAATTATGCCAACACATAAAGGATACATAATTGCTACATAATATACAAAGAGTACTGATGCCCAAGAATTACATAGCTGCTAAATAATAGGAAATAGAGAGAATTACTTTGACGAAGTGGCACAAGAGGTCACTGCTGTGTAAAGGAGGGGTGACATAATAGTTACATGAAGTGGCACCAGAGGGCGCATTTGTATGATGAGTATGTAGATAGTCTATGAGTGAACCATCAGAGAGTGATGTACGTAAACGTGTCTCAACATACCATCAGCTTTTTAAGTTTTTATTCAGTAACAAAGTTTTAAATTTAATATTTTATCTAATCTGCAAAACATTGTTTTGACAATTCTCAAGTACTGATAAGTTTATCACAGTTACAGCTTTGCTTTATAAGTAATACAATAAATCTGATATTTTAATCTCTAGTTGTTATCAACTTTATAGTTTTTCATTTATATATTTAATTACATTTTAAAAAGGCAAAGGCGCATAGTATAACTAATGATAGCATTTCTATAAATGAATAGTTCAAAAGGATGATGAGCTCATTGTAGGGTGTCTCAAGATGTGATTATGTCATCAATGCCTATATTTAATTACATGTTCTAAAAAGTAAAACTATTACTTTTATTTTTTGGCTTAACATAACAATAAAAGTGCTCTTGACAAAATATTTCATTTTATTATAGTTTTCGTTTATATTTTCAACTGTATTACATGTGTTTTACAAAGGTGGGTGGTGTTTCTATAGGTAGATAGTGTTACCAACATATTTAATGTACTGTTGAAAAGTTTTATCACATCTAATGATTCATTTTTATAAATATTGAACAAGATGGTTATTTCATTGTGTTTTTAAATATTGATTTAGTACATAATTAATCTACTGATTATAGTTTTCGCTTATATACCTAATTTGCATAACATACTTTTTAGTATTTCCTGACATTTTATATGTAAAACACTTCTCACCAATTCCTTTCTTGAATTAATATATTGTATAACATCTATTCGCCCAGAAAAGAATGGTTATTTACATCTCTATATAATTTAGTGTTTAGCTTTGTAAGTTGATTTGTTTTGCTAAAGTTTAAAGCAACTATGTAAATAGTTATGTTAACCATTACTGTAAAGTTATAATCTTACCTTTATGTAGAAATTCTCACAAATCTTGGTCTAGAGCATGTTTCTTAGTGGTTTTGAATTTTGTGCATATAGGCTCAATACCACTTCGAAAAACGAATATTTACTACATATAGGTCACTCGTTCATCCTATTGCTGATACATTCCAGCTGATGGCATGTTGAGAAAGCTTGACTCTTCTATAAAACCAAGTGACATGTTCACCTAAGGCTAAAACAAGTAACACTTTCGTTTCTCTAAAACTAACAGACAAACCACAAATTATATTTCAGTATCTTTCAAAACTTCACCTTATATACACTATAATACTTAAATGTATTATTTACCAAAGCATCATATATCTTTTTTACAGATGAACATATTTCACAACTAACTGGAGAAAACAGTTGACAATCATAGTCTGAAAAGGATATTTAACAATAAATCAAGTGATTATTCTTTCACATTTTATAAATTCAACATATTTACTGTTTATCATTACAGAATATATTTTACAACAACAATGTAAAACAACAGACTTGACAAGCATACTGAAATATTTATCAACAAAACTATAAACATTTTAGCTTTTAAAATATTGGATAATTAGCTTCCATAAAATTTTTTCCACATTATGTCCAGTAAGATTTCGGTTGGTCGTCTCAGAAAAACTAGATTATCTTCTATTTTACAATTCAAAACAGATAATTTCCTGACATAGATTTTGAAATATTGTTTCAGTAACATGTGATGCAGTATCTTTCATTTCACTTGATAGAAAGATCATAAAACGTATGTTAATCATGAGTTACAAATCAGTGTTATGTGGTTTTATTATGCAAGACTGATGTTTCATCATAGCCAAATATATTTTAAGCAGATATTAATAAAATATCAAACTTAACAAGTATCACATATAATTAAACATTTATTAGCAAAACAAATATATTATTTATGTAAATGTGTTAGTTTATAAAATACTGAATTAGCTTTCATTCAGTTTTTTACATTATGTCCATATTACTAGTTTTTAATTTTAGTTCAGTATGTAAGATTTTAATATAGTTTATAAACGAAAAATTTAGTGTACGATTTTTGTGTATAGTTGAGTTCATCATATTTTACAACAAAATAATTTTCCTCACTACTCAGTAAGACTAAACTATGCACAACATACAGTCAAAAGTTCAGACAGGGTCATTCTGAAAATATAACTTATACTCGTCTTAGGTTGATAATTCATTAACAAAAAGAAACTTAATTCTATTCTGTTCAGACTAAAGTCCAAATGTCAGATAATTACATGTCTAGCTTACTCTTTTATGATAAACTACACCCCATGAATATTAGTTTCTAACAAGTATGTTTGAACAACTAATACAAGTATCCATTTTTATTCTTATATAAAACTCATTTTTCATCATAGTCCATTATGTTATAATTAATATATGTAAGTAAAATCACAGACTTGACAAGTATCACACATACTGAAACGTTTATTAACAAAACTTCAAGCTAGAAAAAGACGATTTTATCCAGGATTTATAAAAAATAATGTGCATACATCCTACTTTCGAAGATATAAAAATAACTGTGATAGCAATAAAAAGGTTCTTAACAAAATATTTCAACTTTATTATTTTGTGGTCTACAAAAATGATGATTTTTTCACATTTCATAAATAACTACATTTACTATTTATCATTGCAGAATATACCTTACAACCATGTAAGTCTAACAATGAAAAACGGATTTTGTATGTCACTTAATTTGACAGTAAGTAAAAATGGAATTTATCTGTTCTTCCACTTTACATAATGATACAGAATGCTAAATGTAGATTCATTATTTGCACTTGCACTCTGAATAGTTCACCTGCAAGGTGATTTTTATATGTAATATAGAGAGACTATTTTTTATCTTACAGTTTTCACATTTCATTTGTATAATTTATTTTCCTATATCACGCTATTATCATCAACCTACAGGGCAATGAAATATTTAAAATTAACGAATGGAAAAATGTACATACCTTTCAACTTTTCATAGAAATTCACTAGAATACCATTATTTGTCTTATATGCCACATTTCACATCTTTATCTTTTTACTTATAGTTAATTTTTAATTGTTAATATTCTTTTCTAAATCTATGCCTTTTATTATTCATGGAGATACATTAGCTGGTCCCCACGTGACTTGATAGTTATTACCTGCAGACTCTCACGTTTTACTAAACAAGATGGCGTGTAAACATTTTCACATAGATATTGAGAATTTGTAAATGCTATAATATTTAAAGAAATTACATAGCCACTTTAGTAACAGCAACGTTATTAATATGATGCATTATTATTCCCTTATATATTGTATACAATATCGTAATCTCTAGTTGCTTTAATACTGAACGAAAAATGTGATGCTTTTACATTTTTGATGAGGCAGATTTGTAACACTATGAGGTTCTTGTATGATATAAAGGATGAAGAATGTCTTAAATACTGTGATGTTACATCACTTTATCATTGGAACAACATGTACCTTGAGTAAATTAATAATAATGCATCATAGTAATAACACTGCTTTACCACAGTGACTATCTGATTTCCATAAATATTATAAAATTAAGAAATTCTCAATGTATATGTGAGAATAATCTAATTTGTACACTTATAACCAGTGTTGTGTGTGTTGTTATATATCAGGAAAAATATATTAGTTCTTGTATTAATTATTTTCAAATATTGCATGACAATATAGCAACTTGATTCTCAAGTTGAGGTCATTGGGAGATATATGACTAATAAACAAAGGTTAGCGACAGAGTTTAACTGAATATAAAGTATACAAGAATTGAACTCCAACAGGAGTGTACTAGACTTGTATGAAAGATAATTTAATCTTGGCAATCTAGCATTTTATAATCCATACATGTCAGTGTTATTCCTAAGTATCAAAGGTTATCAGGCTGCCAGTGGAACTTACCCCTCAGATAAATGTGATGAGCCCAGCATGGCCAGGTGGTTAGGGTGCTCGACTCGCAACCTGTGGGTCGCGGGTTCGAATCCCCGTCACATCAAACATGCTCGCCCTTTCAGCCATGGGGCGTTATAATGTGACGGTCAATCTCACTATTCGTTGCTAAAAGAGTAGCCCAAGAGTTGGCGGTGGGTGGTGATGACTAGCTGCCTTCCCTCTAATCATACACTGGTAAATTAGGGACGACTAGCGCAGATAGCCCTCGTGTAGCTTCGTAACAAACAAACAAATGTGATGAACACAACCCAAATTGTAAGATGGACAATACTGTTATTTTTTACATGTCTATACAATTACGCTCTGAAGAAGTTATATTATGTATAGGTATTGATAAGATATATTTGTAAAAGACAGTAGTTTTAAACTACAAATATGTGTGTTCTAGATGGAAAACAGAAAGTAGTAACTTAAAGCAAAAAATAACTTCCTAATGTACCCTCAAACCTTGAGAATGTCATAAATGTACATTTAGCTTTCTATATCATTATGTAAAGAAGTTTAGCATGTGTATAGCAGTTTCAGTGTCAATGACAAAGCTTTTATCTAAGCTTGCCGAACATGTTACTGATAACAAAATAGTATGTTCTAATATGAATAGAGAAATAGAGACTAATTATATCGAAATATTGTTAAGATTGAAGTTGCATCTCGTAACTGTAAATACCTGTTTTGTTGATACTAACCTCTCATATTGTGGAGTTTATTTAGTTTTACTGTGTTCAGACTAACATAATACAAGATGGTCCAAAATTTTCTTTCCTATTTTGAAACATAATAATTAATTAAGGAAATACAACCATGCAGTTCTGAACATCTTGTAACCCAAATCAAACATATTTACTGACATGTCAGTAAACTTCTACGTGTGCATCATTAGTGGCTCTCAGCACGTCTAACCAATATTCAATTTCAGTTCACTTTCACTGCAACACACCCACAGTTACAGTGGCGATGGCGATTCTGTTCATCAGTTCTTTGATGTTTGCTATAGGTTAGGATACCGATAGCATTCATATGTTTTTCTTACAATGACTCTTATGTTTGTGTATAATATTTTTGACAGAGAAAGAGCAAAGCTTCATAATTTTTTCCATTTGTTTAACAAATGATGTAACCATATTATATGCTCTAGTAATAAAACTCTGCCAAAAAAAATGATCTAACACATGAAGTAGAATTTCAAAACACAACCAGTATAGAAAATAAAAGATATAAATAAATTGTATTCCACAACAAACACTTGGAGTACCCACACACTGAACAACTTTGGTTTGTTTAGACGTGGTACACATTTACGGTAATATTTAATCAAGATATAATTGTTATAAACTTACTTTTTAAATAGTATATATAGTAATTTAAATGGGTGTATTGGACTAAGGATTCTTCTACAGTAGGTGTCTTTGACTTGTTGGTGATAAATTCACCGACAAATGAACAGCACACACTCTGCTTATTTTAAAATAGTATATTCAAAACAAGTTAAGCGTAGCACAGCGGTATGTCTGCGGACGGGTTTCGATACCCGTGGGGGCAGAGTACAAATGGCCCATTGTGTAGTTTTGTGCTTATCTGCAAACAAACAAGCATAACATATTGATATACTTATAGCAATACTCTTCTAAAACTATTTTAGCAAACTGTGCTCAAATATTATTATATATATATTTTTTAGATTATAAGAGCTGAAGACATTGGTGATCCTGGATTATCAACGTTTGGGTTTTCTCTTTCAGGCGGCATGGACATGGATGAAAACCACTATCCTGGTGAGTAAGGTATTTTTGTTTTATCTTTACAATATAAACATTTCTTAAATGTTTCTTCTTTACTCCAAAGAGTGTGAATTGAGAATAAAAAAAATATGACAAAAAAGCATTTTGCTAAATAAAATCATGCATTTTTCCTTTTTTTTCATGAATTTGTTTAATGAGCATAAATAGATACAATTCGGCCTTTCTTTTTTAATTTGCTTGGGAAATAGAGTAAGTTTCACGTAAACATATTAAATAAAATAATAGCTTTTGTTTTACATTTCTTAAAAGACATGAATGTGATCACAAATGCTGATGATAACATGTAAAATATTCATATTTCCTTTCAAACAAAGACAAACATGAATAAAAAGGAATATAAGATAAATACTCACATTGTTTTTTTATATTACAAATAACATGTTAAAAGTAAAAAAATATATATATACACTAAACATTTGTTTACCATTCGTTCTTTTGTGTGAAAGGAAATGAACATTACAAAAAGGATCCAATAAATATTAAAATATTCATTCATTTGTTACCGTGTAAGTAGAGGATTGAACGAAGAGAGATAAATTAAATTGAATATATTAAGCTTTTATAATATTCACTAAAAGCTACTATTCATGTTGGTAAGTGTGCTTTCCATCCTGTTTTCCCGAGTTAGGAAAAAAAAACGCTTATCTGCAAGAGAAAATAAATAAATACATACTTTTTGTTCACTCTTACATGTAACTAGACAGAAAGTAAACATGCTTCTATGGAAAATGCAATATTTGGAACTTTTTATCTCTGTTAACAGGTTAGTAGATATAAATGATTTCTCAGAAATAAAAAGAAAGTATAATTTATCTATTGATTTCTTTATTGCTAGATCTTCTTGTTGGGGCCTACGAATCCAATCGAGCTATCTTTTTCAGGTAATATACTATCTTTCTCTTAAGCTATGATCTTGTTTACAAAAATTTTTCAAACTTTTGTCACTTCACTTTTAAAAAGTATTTCCGTTTACTTGACATATTATATAACTTACTACCTAGTATTTGGTCATCTTTATTTTAATACGCTGATTATTGCTTTACAGATCTAGGCCCGTAGTGAATCTCTTTGTCAATTTAATGATTGACCCCAATTCTATCAACCTGGATGAACAAATTTGTAGCCTCTCTGATGGAACAGGAGTGTCCTGGTATGGAAGAGTTTCTTTTATTTATTTCGATTATGAGTTATCATGTCTTTAATGTAATATCCTAATCGAATATTAAGGTTTGTTTTTAATTATGCTTTAGTTTAATATTCTTCATCAAAATTATAAATATTTTCACTTCATACATAAGATAAACAATGGCAATTTGCGGTATAAGGATTGGTCATTAGCCGACGGCGTCGTTAGCGGCTCGAAGGATATCCAGGCGATAATCGATCTCCGCCAACGTACATGCCAGCATTTCCAGATTAATCATTCCAATTGCGTTGGGTATTCAGCCATTCAAGTATGCCATATCCAAGTACTTTCGTCTTATAGACAATGTCCTTTACAAAAACCCATCAAAACTAGTGAAAAACTTCACACCTCAGTCCATATGCCACAACTGTTATCTGGTATGGTTCTTTTTCCATTAAGATAATGGTTGAATAGTTTATGGACACCCTGTAATTTATTTTTTTTGTTTTGAAAAAAAAGTGATATACGTAGTGGATTTATAACGGCTTTTTCTGTGTTTTCAACGATTATTAGTCAACCTTCTTCTCTTTGTAACTTTCTTTTGAAACTAATTACTCATACACTTATAATTGGAAAAAAGGGAATAAGATTTTATGAAAATATACTACACAGTCATATTCCAAAAGTGAAAGCTTTTATTTGACTTTTTACTCGCACAGATACAACGTAACCCATTGTTTATTTAATCTGTAGCTAACACTCTTGTGTTTATTTGATATTTATTCCAATAGACGTACTCTAATTAGAATATTTATCATCGTTAGTCCGGTGGTTAGGGAACTTTACACGCAATCTGCAAGCCGCGAGATCGAAATCTGGCGCTCTTTCAGACGTAGGGGCATATTATGGGATGGTTAGTCCTACTATTCTTGGTAAAACGAGTAACTCAAAATTTAACAGTGGGTACTGTCAGCCTGGTGCCTTTTCTTTGATCTGCAGTTCACAGTTGGCCCGGCATGGCCAGGTGGTTAGGGTGCTCGATTCACAATCTGCGGGTCGCAGGTTCGAATCCCCGTCCCACCAAACATGCTTGCGCTTTCAGCCGTGGGGGCGTTATAACGTGACGGTCAATCCCACTATTCGTTGGTAAAAGAGTTGGCGGTGGGTGGTGATGACTAGCTGCCTTCCCTCTATTCTTACACTGCTAAATTAGGGAATTTCAATTCAAATTAAAAAACAAACAAACAGTTCACAGTTATGGACGCAGCAGATATGACTTGCCTGATTTTTCCATAAACAAAATAAACATTTGTATAACAAACCACAACCTTTACTTCTCTTGTAACGTTGACAGATATGCCCTAATTAAAATGTTTGTTCTACCTCTACCTGTATCTAAGTTTGCCCTTATTTAATAGTTTTTATTTTTATACGTAAATTGAAGGATTTTTTAAATAAAGCTCGTTGAATTTAAAATGAACAATTAGTAAATATAAGAGTTTTTGTTTTTGAAATGGTTAATTCATTTACTAATATCTTGTGTATTTTCTTTTGAAGTCATGATTATACATATTTACTCCAAAGTGCTATGTTTGTACTTTTTTTAGCGTGGTTGTTTCTGTTTGTCTTCGGTATAATGGAACAGGTGTGCCCTCTGAACTACGTAAGTAATGTTTAAATTGAGAACATTTAATTTTGCTTGTACAGAATAGAGGGTAAACGGTAAAATGGAAGAACCTTTTTTGAATTTCGTAATGAAATATGTTTTACATATATTTGTAAAATTTGAGATAGTGACACAAAACTAGTTTACATCTAAAGTTAGAGAAAAGTCGCTACTGTGACTATATCACTAATCATGGTGGTGTTTAGTATGTAGGGATGGGTCGAGACAAAAAGGGCTGCCGTATTCAACCTATTACTCTATGAAGCTTACAGATAACTGCTAAAGCTGAGTTATAGCTTTATTTGAGCACCTAATTGGCATTACTGAGTGTTTCACAGCTTGTGAGTGTTACACATAACAATTTCGAAAAGTCTGAAACTGAGTTAAATGATACTTTAAATTTAGTAGTTAAACATATGCCGATGTATGACCAATTTATGTCATTTGACAACAAGATTGATACACACAGTTTTCTTTTTTAACACAAATATGTTTTCATTTACAAACAACAATACAATTTACTATAACAGTTATTACAAATAGTTATTACACACAATGATTTATATACAAAAAATTTACAAACTTACAAGCAATATAAAGTCTTCTTTCTAATGTGGAATTTTCTTGATATCTTATCAAGGGTTCACGATGAGCGAGCTAATTACGAGTTAATGTAGATACGATTCACTTAACGGGGAGCTAACTAGCTTTGTCCTTCGTTATTCACCAGCCACACACGCTGAGTTTTCCACCATGAAGTTATATAATGTTTTCGAAAAATACTAATGTCCGATGAGAATCCATTGAAGTTAAATGATTTGTAATGTTCGAACTTTGTAAATGTTCCTAGTCAAATATCTGAAGTTTTCCGATTAATAAGCGTTAATCCAAAGTTTATAGCACACCAACTATAGCAAACCAATAATAGATATTCTTTTTTTAGCGCGTCGCATTGGTTATATTTATAGGCGTGTGGAGAGTTTCTAGAAAATTCAGATTACATAACAGTACAAAGCTACATTAAGCGTTTACGTACGTACATACACTGTGTGGTCACAAGTAAATAGACACCTAATTTTTCGTCATTTAACTGATTTATGCTAACCAATTTGTGTTCACAGAGCTCTATATAAATGAAAATGGTTCGCACACTAATTATCTTGTGCTACAACATGCCTAGAACTCAAGGTTCTCTCGAATTGTCAGATTTTGTTAGAGGAA